CCCACTTGGGACTTCTCCCACTTACTTGGATTATTATGGTTATTACGGAGTATTTAATTTCCACGATACCAATAGTATATTTTTTTTGAAGGAAAACAATACCGTCTCTGATCTATTACATTTTATGTGGTGATGTATTTTTTAAGTCTGTTTCTAAAACAGTAATAACATTCAAAATTTAATAATAATTTAACTTAAACTTCTTATTTTACTGTTAATAATATGCTTTTATAGCCACACAAGTGATAAAGCATATAAGACCACAAGTTTAAACGTCGTTGTTTATTTCTTAAATTTCATGATCAATAAAAATTTTGCAACATAAATGGAAATGGAGAGAATATAACTTATCCTACATGAAAAAGAAACCAAGGGTTAACAGACTAAATAATGAGAAAAGTGTAAAAGAAAATTCACGTAGATATATGCAGTAACATTAGAGAAACCCTAACGTATGCGTGAATTAGGATTGTGGAACCCTTTTCTCTATATGGATTTAAATACTTATCATATAATAACAAGTAACAACTAATACTACCTAATATTAGGGTAGTTGTACATTACAATCCCAGAAGAAATAGAAAGAGACATAAAGGAGCGTGTATGAGTTGCCTTTTTTCCTGCATGCAATAATACAAAGTATCAGAACACGTACACCACCACTGCAACAACAGCAAAGGACTACTATACTCCTCAAACCACCCCCAAGGGTCACTGCTTACGGTTCGGACGAACTCAATATTTTTTGCTTTAATTTTTATATTTGTATTAGAAAATTCATTAAAGACGAGTTACGGGTTGACAAATTCAAAACCCATAAACTTCAAATCCTAACTCTGCCTCCCCCATACAACCCTCTTCTACCAAGCATAAAAGTTAAAGAATATACAAAGAAAAACTAGTTATTTCATTTTTCTCCATGAACGTAGTATATAAACACCTCTTTACTTTTTCTTTTTTACTGGCTTGTAGCAAGTATAGCCACATGAAATATATAGATATTCGAACGCCATGAGAAAAATAACATATATGATCTAAACACACAGATATAGAAACAGAAACATGAAGCATGATAATGGAGAAGAGATGGATATCAAACGTGCAAATGTTCAGAGAAGTGAATGCAGGTCACATCAAGACGATATTGTATAATAGCCATGCAAAGGGCAAAACTTATGAGCTGTTGTCGTTCCACTTACTACTAGTCATTTCTTCCACTGGCTCATACACAACCTGTAATATTCTGCTAGTTGCTCTCTCCATTCAACCAAGACTATCCCAGATTCACTGTCTGTTCAAACTTCCTGATTTTCTTCAATTTTGACGTCCATCCTATTATAACTTCTATATATTTTGACGTCCATCCTAAAGAGTTTTAACTTCTATATGTACGTTGACAATATATAATAACTTTTACACCATCAGGTAATTACATGTAATGTGCTGATATTGTCAAAGTTCTTTATACTGTCTGTTAAATCCATATCTAAAACCCACTAATGTGAGAACAGTTCTCATTCTAAAAGAGCAAAGTTAGTATTCTATATATTAGACTATTCTTAGAAGTAAAGTACTATCATAGAGGAGAATTATACCTCTAAATGGGGAAAAGAAAGATATTAAGAAGAAACCACTTTGGAAGTTCATATCCTTGGAACAACTCATTATTCAAAAGACTTTTATACATAAGACTCCAGGGAACTTTCGAACTGGCCTCAGTAAACTGCTTTTTATCTCTATGGAACTTTCAGTTTTTCAAGTAGCTATTAAAGCAAAACCTGCAAATCTAGAATAACTCATCTGCTCAAACTTGCTGTGTGGGTTTTCCTTCAGACTGCTATATTTATGCTTTGTAAGCTTCAGGTTTCTATTATCTGTCAAGAGAGTGAATGCCCATGCAAGGCAACATTCTTGGTTATGAAAAGCCGGGAGAATAATACAAAGATGATCTAAAAGGACCTGCAGGTGACGAGGAAGCCGAGAAAGAGCTTGGACGAACAAAACTACAACCTTCGGGATTGCCATTCCACTTAGCAGGAATCTCGTTCATTTGAGTAGGCAAGTTCGCATTCTGAGCTACTCCAGATCCGCTGTAAGGAGAACCATGCGGTCTATTTTCGCAGAAATTCACAAACTTTGAGGTATAGCCCGAGCTGATCATCTGCATTTGGATACTAGTTGACGACCTGCTTCTCCCCGTTCCCATGGTGTATGCAGAATCAGCCCCGTTTTCTGGAGAATCATCAATTATAATAATTTCCTTGACGGCATTCCCAACTGAAGTTGAATTTTGCCAATGAGATATGGGAGTTGCCACAAACTTCTTCCCATCACATGTCTCATTTGGTCCATTGAGCACAGTATGTAAATTGCACCCTTCTAAATAGTCTTGTCTGCCAACGGAACCCATCAATCCGATGCCACTACCCTTGCACGAAAACGAGACGGGAGATGTAGGGGACAGCTGTTGTGGCCTTGAGTAACTGTCGCGACTTTTGAAACCATTTAACAATCTGACATCAAAATGCTGTACTGGATCACCAGTTTGAAAGACAAGACGATTATGTGCATCCACCTGACGAGATGAGTAGAGATCCTCACTACGAAGACTGCCACAAGAAACACCAGAAAGTCTAGTGTTTGCCAGGTCATTCATGGAATTTGAGTGAGATGATCTTTTCAGTGGGGAGTCTTCATCTTTGTTGACCACCATTAAGTCCTTTCCCATCAGCCTGAGAACTGGATTGGAAGCAGATGGACAAGACTCATAATCACGAGTTGGGAGCTTGAACTCAGAATCAGCAGAAACTCCAAATTGAGTATGTCCAGTGGATGATTTAGTGGCATTTGTTTCAGGTCCTGAACTCGAGTCACTAAGAGAAAACGAGTTACTGATATTATTAGGTCTTCTGATTGAATCAGGCCTCAACTGATTCTCACTGGCAGGAAAAGGAAAAGGTTCCATGGCCCGTCGCTGTAAGAGCTGTGACTCTTGAGATGCTCCTTCTTTCCTAACACAACAACATGGCTTATCATTTGTAAATCTGAAAGTGCCTTTACCAGGAAAGAATGTATTTGCATTAAATTTGTCCAGTCCATCCCTTTCATCTCCTGTATTTGCTGTCTGAAGTAGAGTGACGGAATTTTCCACCAGAAGATCAACAATACTGCTGCCAGATAAGCTACACCTTTTATCTTCCCAGCCAGCTGTGTGACATCTGAGACTTTCAGAAGATTCCCTTCCATCGCCAGACAACTTGTCTGAATATCTTGAGCCAGTTCTAGCCATAGTGAAGTTAGAAACTGTTGATGCAGCAGAAGTAGGTGAACCAGAAGAATCCTGATCAAAGAATTCAGGATAATCTGCAGAAGATTGAATTTTACTGCTGGTTAATGATGAACTCCCATGAAGGTCTTCTGAGCTCATACGACCAGGACTAGGTAAAAAAGATCCAGGCGGTCCTGGTATGGGAATTGGATCAACCTCCAAAAAGTAATTCCCTTGCCCATCATTACATCCCAATTCAGTAACATCGTCATGAAGATTGTGATCAATCATACTTTTCCCAATTTCCGCTGCACTAAACATCTCTTCTTCAACACCTAAAATAGGATCTTGCGAACGTGTTGCAGCTTTGGTGCCAAGAAAAGATCCTTCATACTCTTCACTAAACAACTGAGATCTAGCAGAACCAGACAACTCATCAGATCCAGCATCCAAAGACTTGCGAAAACTCATAAATTCTCCCCTCGCAGAGAATTCAGAGGCAACAGCTGGATCCATAGTCTTGTCATTCTGAGTTTGATCATTCACTTTCACAGATCTTATAGCATCAGATGCACCTGCTAAAGTGCTGCCAGTTTCATTATCAGAATCAGTCTCAGCTGAAGACTGTGAGCAGCTCTTCAAGCCCAGAGTACCCTCCACATTAGAAACCACAACTTCCTCCCTATTTTTCCCGATGCTTAAAATTCTAGATCTTTTAACAATTACCCTATCGCAACTCTTGCTCCCTTGAACTTTAGTTTCACTGAGATCTCTTATACAACGTTTCTCTCCTTCAGTTTGACAAACTCCGGCTTCTTCTGATTCTGGAGTGCAGCGCATACTAGACTTCTTAAGGGAAGCTGTTTCCCACTTCAAGCTACATTTAACACCACGAGCAGGCCCTTCACTGACAGACAAAAGGTTCTTCCTCGATGATGACAACTTCCTATCTTTCAAGGAGAATGCTGGATGAGAGGTGGACGGTTCACCATTGATCTCAGAGTTATCCACCTTTTCTAGTAGATCACCGGAGCCATTGTTTACAGAATGGACAGCTACCTTCAAATGTTTTTCTTTGTTCCTTTGTAACACTAGGGATCTCTTCTTGTTAGATGGGAATTGAGATCGAGACAATGAAAAGTCCACTTTCTTTTGCAGAGAAGGCTCCTCGGTATGTTCATCTTGAGGCTCAAGTAGCACATCCCCCATTCTTTGGCTACTCTCAGGCAAACAAACAGTATTAGCAGATGATCTTGGAGATTTGTAAAGACAGTTTCTTATCTTCAAAGATGAATCAGTCATAGGCAACACATCATTGTCATCTTGAACGCCAGTCAACATAACACCTCCAGAACGCTGATGGTTGTCCTTATCACTGAACTTCCTTGTGAGGCCAGTTCTCTTCGAACATGCCCATTGTTTTATGGTTCCTAATCCATTTAATACCACCTGTTCTGGAGATCTGAGCTGCTTATTTAAGCAATCCTCTCTGACAACATTTCCTCGGGGGGAAAAGGTGCCATCTTGACCACTCTTAATCTGTTCATATAATATTTTGCGAATTAGTTCTAAGAAAATTATTTAGATAGAACTGCTAATTGGTAAAAGCAAAATAGTTTTGATAAAAGATAACAAAACGAAGNCACCCCCACCCCCACCCCCGAACCAAGCGATCTAGCCCTCCGTTTCACCAACCACCAAAACAAACAATCATGAAATCAAGCTAACAAGAAGGCCAAGATACCGGGAAAGACATGTAACATTATTCTCCTAATGTTCTTTTGTTTTCCATTCAAAGTTTGCAGCTTCTTCACTGCACTATATTGCTACATTTTCGGAAGAAATATTTTAAAGATGACTTGCAATAATCTTGATTTAAAAAGGATTTCAAGAACAAAGGCGAAGCGGGGCAAACTTCTTCATATCTAGGATGGGCAAAAAAATTACCTTGGGACAGTGATAGGGCTTGGACAAGCAAAACTTTTTAGTACGAGAAGATTTCAAAAGCTTGTGCTGTCTCTGGATATGATTCTTCTTCTTCCTCTTCTTTGTCAAAACGAGTTTGCTTCTTTTATCTCCATCAACCAAATGTTTCTGAAGAGGATCACTAACCAGCTTTGATGATTGTGGCTGCTCGTCGTTGAACTTGGACAGAATTCGAACCTTTGTGCCATTGGCATCAATATAAACAGCACCTTCATTATCAGTGCATTCATGACTAACAGGAGGAGGTTTATCCAGTTTCTCAACAGCAGATACCTCAGTCTCTCGAACAGACAAACTCGGGTTTGAGGCCCAGTTGGTTCCATTCCTCTTATCGAGATCCTCCAGTGTACAGCACGCAGCTGTTGCATATATATCCACCATCAATCTCGTTTTCCTTGGCTTTATCCTGTGCTTAATCACCTTATTAGAATTTTCTGTCCACTTGATTGTTGACTCTCCAGAGAGACATTGATCAATGTGAGCGTTCAAGGTGGTGTTTGATGAGGATGTGAAAGTCTTGCAAACTGGACATACTTTCGAAGCCATTGCCTCAGAAGCCATGAAATTGTTGCTGGTGGTGGTTTCCTCTTCTACGGTTCGATAATCTGTGACGTTGCCCAACTTGACTATTAATCTGCACTTTTTTGCTGCTGGCGGTCGTGCTGTGCTCCCGCTCTTGTTTGACATGGGAGGTAAAAGACCTTTATTCTCAGGTTTCCCAACAGCTTCTGTTCCCAAGCTAGGATTCCTTTCAGCTGTTGGAACTGAATCAATTTCAGAAAAAGACTGACTGGTTATCGTTGACCGGATCGCCTTTTCTTTATCAGATCGACTTGAACTGATATTTCTATAATCAGCAGCTAATTTTGGCATACATCTAGGATCATCATCTACCTTAAAATGCTCCTCCTGATCAAAAGTTCCTATAATATTGTCCTTGTCAATCGAACAATTATCTACAGCACATCCCTTAACAGATTGAAAAGGGGGTAACAAATCTGTCACGCCATGCTTCAAACAAAGCTGCAAATTTTTCTGAGAAAATGGCCAGTTGGTCTTTATGTCCTTTCTCCGGCTTTTGAAAACATAATCTCTGCAAGATAATACAACATCATTTCTGTTTAGAAAACAATTCATATCATATGTCAGAAACAACCTGAACAAAAATTAGCATGGGAATTGGCAGAAAGCAACAGTCTGTAATTGCTTGTCATATGAAAGGAACATAGCTACATGAAATAAGACTAGGAGAGGAAACGACAACCAGCTAAAAAAGGCTAATCTTTTTGTTTCCCAAAATCAAAAGATCAGACGGGAACAGTGGATCTGAGTCAAGAAAGAAAATCTTTAGATGACTAAAATCCCCTTCAACAGTAGAACATTGAAGGGCTGGTGGAGAAGAAGGGAAGAAACCCAAAGACAAGAGACAGAGGAAATATAGATATATTTTTACCTTATGGAGAATTTGGGGAGTGGTTTGTTATCATCAAAGTGGTCAGAGTTGGACAGATCTAGTTGCTTCTTATCAGAAGAAGAAGAAGAAGAAGAAGGCCTCTCATCACTGCTACTACTTTTCAGTAGAGAGATTTGGGAAGGATCTGCTGCAAGTTTTTCAATGGATAACATCTGCTGATAAGCTTCTCCTTTCTTCTTTTTCTTGTGCTGTTTTCCCAACAGTCACAAGAACTGCTGCTGCTCTTATTATTATACTTTCTAAGACTACTACTTAGTCTTATCTCCTTATTATACTTAGCCTTCAGCATAACAGTAGCCTCTTAAAGGCCTCTCTCCACAGACAACAAAACAAAACCCCACCACCACTAAAACACCAAGATTTTACCCTTTCTTCATAAAATCAGCCTGCAAGATAGAGTTAAAAAAATAAAAACATGAGATCAAGCTGAGGAGAAGTTTCAAGAAAGACCAACAAAAGACTAAAGGGGTCAACAACAATGTTATTTTATGTGCTAAGCTAAGGAAGGAAGGAGTAAATCTGAAGCCACCTATTTATGTTGAATCATCTTAAAAAGACTAATTAACCAAGGAAAGAACTAATTTTGGGAAAGAAAGAAACCCACAAGCAAAGATGTGAAGGTAGATCAAGTCTCATGAAACGTTATTTTATGTGGGCAAACCCAAGAAAAAGGTACATAAAATTTCTCAAGCTTTGCTTATTGGGGAACAACTAAGCACTAATACACTTTCAAAATCAAGTCCAAACAAAGTAAATCTAAAGAGTTTTAACAACAAATATATGAGATCCCTACATAACAAAACTGAGTCTTTGGTCAAGGTTAGTGGAAACTGAGGAGGAAATCAAAAAGGTTCATTGGAGTTAGATTTCAAGTTCAAGATAGAGAGAAATGAAGAAACCCCAGAAATCAAAATCAAATCTTTATTGGCTGGTCTCAGTGAACAGTAGAAGAAGTGCGACCACACAGATATCAAAGTTCAAAACTTAAAAATAGAGAGACCAGATTTGCAAAACATAGAAAGAAACCTCAAACAATCACAGAATAAAGATCATGAAATCACAAGAAATCTCAGTATTCAAACCTCATCTAGTACCTACACCAGCTCCCATATTCAAATTCAAGCAGAAAAAGATCATCCAAGAGAAAAAATCAAGAGGGTCTGGGCAAAAAACACACACACAAAAAAAGGAGGAAAATAAGAGAAAGGTACAAACTTTGTTGATTTTGAAGCGTTTTTATTTGTTATGTGAGACTAAAGATGAGAGCTTTAAGAGGATAATATATAATGAGAAAAATGGAAGGAAAATAAAATACCAAAAGTATTAGGAGTAGAAGTAGTTGTAGCTGGGGAGAGTATTAGATGATGAAAAGAAGGGGAAGAGATATAGTAGAGAGTATGTTTTGATGAGAAAAGAGCACCACCCACTCACACATCAAAAGAAGAAGGCATCAGGTTCTTCTCTCCACCAAAAAGCAGGTTTGTACCATTAATCACCACTATTCACCCTCTCCCCCTTACCCCCTACCCCAACCCTGTGATTTAGCTAGCGTGAGAGAGAAATTAAGAGAGAGAGAAATAGAGAGACACATAAAATAGGTAACAAAAATATTTACTTTGGATATCCAATTTCAAAAGGATATAGAGCACAAACATTTATTAACTTTATTAATATAGTTTAACTTATCTATGTCATTTATTATAAGTCAATTTAAGATTTTACGTTTATGAGTTTTAAATTTCATGTCATGACAGTTTATTGAATTTGAGATACATTATTTGAATATTTTAAGTAAATTTTTAAAAATAAATATAAAATTTAAACTCAAGTTATTAGATTCTACCGAAATAATGATGTATATTTGCTCCACTATTATTACTTATTGTATAAATAGTTTTAAATCAATAATGCATAGAACTTAAATGCATTAAAAGATAAAAAGTAGTTTTTTTACATATACCTAAAGTATTTTTAAATTCATGATTTAAATATATTATATAATATATTTATAATTATAAAAATATACATCAAATAAATAAATAAAATTAAACGTAAAAAACATACTCCCTCCGATTCACAATAAGTGAGCATTTTACCTTTTTATTTTGGTCTAAAATAAGTGTCCATTTACATAATCAAGAAGGAATTAATTTTATTTTTTCAAAATTTTCTCTTATTTACATATTCCAATGTGTCAATGTAATAATTAATTAAGGTTAATTTAATGAATATATCTTTTTTTCTCTAGGAGTTACCTTAATAGGTGTGTCAAAGATAAAATGGTTACTTATTGTGTAGAGAGTACTACTCCCTCCGTTTCAAATTAGATGAGCTACTTCCCTTTTTAGTATATTCCAAAATAAATTACATATTTCTAAATTTAGAAATAATTCAACTTTAAACTCTTTATTTTACCCATTTTACCCTTAATGAGAAACTGTTATAACCATACAAATGTCATGACCCACAAAGCGTTTAAGATCAAAAGTTTTAAAAGTCTTTTTTTTCTTAAATTTCGTGTCAAGTCAAACTATTTTATCTAAATTGAAATGGAGAGAGTATTATTTTATTTTTAGCCGACTAAGAAAAGCTTAACATAAAATAAAATAGAAAAGGCAGTGTTAGAAATTAAAAGAAGAGAATGGAAAAAGGCGAAGGTAGTGTTACTCTACAAAGCTGTCCTATCCGAAACCTACCCCTAATATAAGAGTGGGGGTGGGTCTTCTTTGAAAAAATGAAATTTTGTGTGTTGTTTATTCTTTGATTTTTTTCTCGTCATGTTTGTGCTAGAATGTCAGTTTCGGCCCCCACTTTTCTTGTGAAATTACACACACCGCTACGCTCCTTTTCCAATTGCCCCCTTTCGCTACGCGACAACTTTCCCCTCTCTCTCTCTCTCTCTCTCTCTTATTTGTGTGTTGATCATGACAACGATATTCAACTTCTACTAGTCATTTGTTGTTTATTTAATTCTATTCACCCCCACTTTTACCCTTCTTTCCTCTTAATTACCTCCGAATTTGTTGCTTGTATTTTTTGCATTTTTTTTCGATGTTCTATATTCGTTTTGAGGTTTAAACTAATTCGGATTTATATTGCTATATTATTTTTTATTATGTTTTTCTATTACCATAACTCAAATTGGAGATTCCAGGTTAAAGATAAAAAAATCATAATCATCCATCATAATCCTAAGAGATCATTTGGTGGCAGGATAGATAGGAGTTTTTTATGTATTAAAACTAAGATTAAAAAAATAAAAATAAAAATAGTCTCTACATAAAATTTAGCAGAAGCTGTACAATATTTGATTGATTTTTTCTCTTTTACACATATAATATAGTATTGTTAATGTAATATTTGGTTCATGTTTTTCTTTTTCGCATAACTAATACATATGTAAATTATAAGGGAAAATATGTATTACTTATGCAGCGCAGAAGATGGGATAACCTGTGCATATTAGTAATACCTATATTAGAAAACAAAATGACAGAATACCCTCTATTCAAACTTGTATTTTTTTTTGTTTAAAATGATATATTTTAAATATACTAACAATTTTAATAGAATAAAGTAGACTAATAATAAACAATACTCAAGTTATATTTTATATTACTAATCCTTATATAACTACTGCATAATTAATTTTCGCATAACTAATCTCAATATAACTAAATTTTGCATAACTAATCTCTGCATAATTAATTTCTACATAAGTAATTCTTACATTACTAATATATGCATAACTCCAACCAGTAACCAAACGACGTTAGTGGTTGCTCCTATTCTCATTGCTTGGTAGTTTCCTTGTACAAATATTTTTATTGATTTATTAATAGACATGCATTCATACTAGCTAGCACTATTTTGTTGTTGTTTGTTTGTATTTAAAGTTTTAGTAAAACACAAGCAATTGTAGTTCAAGTTCTAGTAGGTTACATAAAATATTATATGACCAGAAGAATTGTATCTGGACATACATCTTTTAATGTATGCGTCCAACTTCTTTTACACAGCTTCTATTTTTACGTATGCTGATGGCTGAAATGATTTTAAGTACATTAACAAAATAATATATGACCGGAAGAATTGTATCGAATGATAGATTCCTTTTTACAATTGAAGTGTGCGGATATCTTGACCAACTTTTGCAGTTGTCTTAGGTCGATAGTAAATTCCTCTTTGTGTCTTTATTAATACAAGTATAAAATATATTCTATATTGTTCATGCTACTGGTATTTGAAGATTTTTATTGAATGAAGAAGAAAGGCAAGAAGCAGGCAAACAGCGATTCAAAGTCCTGTCCAAGATCATTTTCTTCTTATTTTTGTAGTTGGAAATTTCGATAATACTGTATAATATTTTAATTTTCGAAAACAACTCAATCTTGATTCGACATTGGCCTTAAATAGGACATGAATTACTAGACACAATTTACGTAATATAATTTTATTGAAAAGAAATTTAAAGGTACGTCATCCTTAAATTATACCCCATCTTAGAGATTGAGGTTTGGTCTAGTCCTCTTCGGTGTTCTTGTTTTCAGCTTTTTTTCATCGTTAAATAAATAAATTCACTTCTTAATTGTTTTTAAAAATAAAAAGGATTTTCACCTTATGCATGTGAAACTAAATTCGAGTTATTTCCTTTAACCTTTTGGCCATCTCCTCTTGTTCCCACAGTTCTATTTCCCCGTGAAAAATGTCATCTTTTTGTGTGTGTAATTTTACAATAGAAAGAACCTCGCGACTTCCTGATCAATTAACCTAACTATTCATCCGCTGTAAATGATTACTAAAAGATTTGGAAGACGAACTTTCTCCTATTAACTTTTTGGAAACTTAAACTTCTAATTTTCTCATGAAATAGCTCCAAAATATATATAGTAACTTAATTGTTTCTAATTCATTGATAACAAGGACAAGCACGCATCAATCACTGTTTAGTTTAAATATATTGACATGTGTGCTTTTTTCAAATGAGAAACAATATCTCAAAATAAAAGAAGGCCCTAATAATACTTGTAACAAATTAAATAAATGGTCATAAACTAATTTCTATAACAATTCCATTACACATGTCGAGATCGAGATCGAGAAGGGGGGGGGGGG